CATCTCTCACAATTTTTCTCCTCTCGTTTTTTTTCTCTCATCTCTATATTTCTCTTGTTCCCAGTAATTGCACGAAGGTAGGAGCAGGGGCGGTGGATCTCTGTGGTGGAGGCGGCGGCGGGTGGATGCGACGACGGCAGCCGGTGAAGGCGGCGCCGCGGCGGGCGGCCGGTGGAGGCGGCAGCCGATGGGGGCGGTGGTCGGTGGAGGCGGCGACGGCGGGTGGGTGCTGTGCGGGCGGGGGCTGTGAATAAGGTTGAGGTGTTACGGATATTATATTTTTGACTAATCAATTGGATCTGATTTCCTTGTGTTTTGAAATTTTTTTGCTTGATTTGGGTTCAAATGCCAGATTTAGATTTTCTCAAAGTTGGTAGGTGACTGCAATCGCGGCGGTTGCGAGCATGAGTTGCTAGGGTTGGCGTTGGTTGCGTTGGCTGCTAGAGTTTGCGACGGCTAGGAGTTTTTGGTGGCTAGGGTTTGGTAGTAAAGCATAATACACCGTAAACTATACTACACCATAGTATACCATACTACACCACTACACTATAGTATACTACAGTACATCGTAATATACCGTAGTATACTACAGAAAAATAGAAAATATGTAAATTGAAATAAAAACAAAAATAGCATGTCTTTTTTTTTTTAATTCTCAATACTGTATTATGTAGAAATAAAGAAAAAATAATTTTTTTTTATAATAGCATATAAAATGCTAAAACGAATAAAGAAAAAAACGAAGACAAACGGATATTCTGAAGAAAAAAAATATTAGATTGAAATATGAAAATATTAAATGCATCATAATAAATAAAATGATAAATGCAGTATGGAATTTACTTAATGAATATTTCGAATTTGTGAGTGGAGGAACATTTTTGGAATGGATTTTATAAAGGATGTGAAGCAAATGTTTAGTTAGACTTGTCATTTAGTTTAAATAAGTTTTGTCACCAGGCACCTATATCCTAATACCCCAATTTTTTGGTGAAGAAATTTTCATCTCCCACCCTTCCACCATTTTACCATTTTTTCCACCAAATCCTATTTTTTTTTCTATCAAATATAGAAGTAAAAATAGGATTTGGTGTAACTAACACCATTCTATAATTTGCATATAAAACTATTATATTAACTAATTTCATGTGATTACCTATGAAATAATTTTTTTGGCCAAAAAAATGTTGTAATGTTCTTGTGATTAATTTATGTTGTGAAATTTTTAGGCAATTAGTTTATGAAATTATTGTTTATGTATGGTTTTATTATATGTATAAGGGCAAATTACGGCCACCCCTTGAGGTATAGCCAAATTACGAAAAAACCCATCTTGTTTGGGTAATTAGACCCGCCGCCCCCTCCTTTAGAATATTTATACATAAAATTCATGTAATTCGGTTATTTACCGAACCAAATCGTATATTCAGTTCGGTAAACGGTATGAAATGTTGGCGTACCAAAATTTCGGTTTGGTTTTACCAATTTAACATCCCTAAATTTACCTCTGGAGGAGTATTTTCATAAGATAATACATAGTTGATGGGGTGTCTGTAATTACCCAAACAAGAGGGGATTTTTCGTAATTTGACCATAACTCAGGAGTTGCTGTAATTTGCCCTATGTATAATAATCGAAGTCGATTTTCATCCATGTTTCAATAAATTTTTGATATTTATCATAGTTTTTAAATTATATACTTGATAAAATCATTGTTTAAGATTAACTTCATCATCAATATTTTGGTAATAAAATAGACTAATTTTATAATTAACATTAAACTTATAATTTTGTAATTTATTTGGTGAAATGCCATGGGAGACCAAACCAAATTATATTCTCTATAAATGGTAAAACGATGAAATATTAATATTTTATTATTTGGTCTAAAATTTGATGGAATTGGTGGGAGACCAAATACACTATTTTGTCACTAAAAATAGAAATAATATAAAATGGTGTGCTACGAGTGGGAGATAACACCATTTTTTCACCACCAAAAATAGGATTTTGTGAAAAAAATGGTTTAAGGGTGGGAGATGCTCATAGTTCTAGGACTAGGGGCAATTACAGAAATGGCTTAAGAGCATCTTCCACCATTAACAAATGTGATAAGACAAAACTACCCTTATTATTATTATTTAAAATAATTGCAATATTTATTTTCCATAACCGTTACGCTCCTTCCTCTAGATTTACACCGCCAGTGTGCCCCTCATTCTTCCTCTTTTTCACAACACCGTCTTAATCCGCTCACCCAAGCCACTGACCACAGTCGTTGCCTAGGGTTTCGCCTTTCCTCCTCCCAACCCTTTCAATACCCTACAAACACTCTTGCATCCAACTCCTCACCACCAACCCTTATCGGATTGATGCAAATAGAATAGCGCCGACGAGATTTGATGAACGCCAAGCGCAATTATGAGTGTAGTCACATTGGAGTCACTGTTAGTGAAGAAATACATGCAGAATATGACTACAGTCACTGTTAATTGGTAAAATTTATTTTTTTTCTCGAATTAATTGCCGAACTAGCAATAGAACTTGTTATGGATCTGAATTTTCAGTTATATTATTTGTTTGCTATGAATGCATATATCGATTTTCAATTATTCTGTATTTTATTGATTTTTTGTGATTTTTTTTTTTTTTGTTAATTTCGGATCCTAGAGCATGATTGTATGCAATGACACTCCTTGACTATATTTTTTAGGGTTGGGATTGGGTTGGATCGGTCGATTACCACCCTAAAAATCAACTCATCCGTCAAACCGTTTTTGCTCAAATTGAAAACCGCTGCCAACCTAACCTTTGTGGGTCGGTTGGTGGTTGACAACCGAATATTTGGTTCCGGATTGGGTCGGTTGATGGTTTATACCCGCAACCTAGTTCACCTATAAAAAAATCAGATTTTGGAGTAAAAATATCCACATTCTGAGTAATATCACGGTGCGATCATCATTTATAAGTTCAAAACAATTAATTACATTTTAACGAAAAAAATATAATTAGGAAATTCAAAGTAATTTTAAACATGCACAATAGATTTAGTGGAGTTTTGTGGCCTTTTTGTTTAAGCTTGAGCATAAAGAAACTGGTGGAAGATTTATATTAATTTTTTTTCCTTTGTTGATTGTTTTTAAAATTAAAAATACTAATTTGTTTTGATAATTTCAATAACCACCTAAGAAAACACGTGCTTTATTTTATATTTTTAATAAAAGTTTAAGAATTTTGTTGGATGACCGATAATTATCGGTCAACCAACTTTTGATAATATTAAAAACCACCAACCAATCCATCATAGATGAATTGGTTGAAATTTTCGACCCGATCCATTGGGTCGATTAAAATTTGATTTTCCGCCTAAAAATATGGTCGGTAATGGGTCGGTTGGTGGATAAAAACCAACTCAATCCCAGCCCTAATATTTTTTTCTGCTTTCTTGTTGTTCTGACTACGTTTTATTTATCTAAGAATGTAAGGGTGTAGGTACCATTTGATTGTTATGGATTTTTGACTTTGTAATACCATAATAGTCATGTATAGTCGCGTAATTACACCATGTTATATTTGAAAACAGTTGTGCCCATAGTCACATATAGTCATATAATGTTTTTATTGCATATTTCACACCATTTACATTTTTTTTGCTCACTTAGCATGTGTAATGATCAACCGTTTACATTTTTTTATGTTCTCTTTGTATGTTTTCAGCTTTGAGCAACATCAATAACAGTGGCAGTGACATCAACTGATGTAGACAGATTCATGATCAAGATTCTATGATAGTCATGTCCTATATCCATATAGTCACGAAGTCATATAAATAGTCACATCTGTACACCACCATCACCACGACCGTCGTCGCCTCCCTCACTCTCTCTTTCGTTCACTGCCGATGTCGTCGACTCCCCTCTCTCTTTCGTTATCTTTCTATCTATATTTTTGTATGTATCGATTTCTCTTTTCTTTTTCTCTAGATTTGAACATACAGTTTCAGGTTTGAACAACAACAGTAACATGACTATAGTCATATTCGAATATGACTATTGTTGAATATGACTGTAGTCATATTCGAATATGTTCTATGTTCTCGTTTCAACTTGACTTGTAATAATAAGATTCAAATTGTATTTTTTTTCTGTGGATGTTGATTGGATTATTTTCGTGCAATCTTCGGTTTTTTTATATGATTTGGTAAATATGACTGTACTTCACTATATAATCGGAATTTTTAAGTTGAAAATGTAAAAAAAGGTGAATATAAAGAAAGAATATAACTACAGTGATATAGTCACATATAGTCATATTAGACTATAGTCATATTCGGCGTAATAAACTTATCAGAATTTTTTTTTTTCAATTTTTCGTTTAAAAAAAAAAGTAAAAAAAGAAAATTATTAATATAACTAAAAAAATTGCTAAATGCAGCTCGAAAATTGCTAAATGCAGTCCACATAGTTACTGATGTAGTAAGTAAATGAGGGATATTAGTAAGAAAAAGTTATAAAGAGTATTGCAAAAGATGAATTTAGGGTTAGTTTATTTCTAAGGCCACTTAAATTATAGATATCAACTACCAAAAATTTAATTCTAACGAGAAAAATGCAGCAAAATGATATTTCACTAGTTAATATTTTTTCTCTGCCAATGTCAGAATGAGTTGGAATATCATTAAGATAACAAACTCTTTTCTATTTTATTTATTTATTTATTTTATTCAAAAAAGAAAAAAGAAGGAAAGTTGAATTAGCAAAGAAATAGTAACCCTAGAAATGATGTAGCCGTTGATGTACGTACCATACCACCCGTTAAAATCTGAGAAATCCAACCCACACCCCACTCGGCCCGCCATCAATTCCAACGCCATTCAAATTTTCAAAATTCAAAAAAATTGTTTGTAACCGTTCACTTTCTCTCACCTCTCTTTCTCTCTCTTCAAATATAAACCCCTCATTTACCCCTCTCTCTCTACCATCCTCATTTTCTCTCTCTCTCTCTCTCTCTTTTGCTCCATTCTTTTTCCAATCTTTTTCACCTCAAACAAACAAAAAGAATCAAAAGGAGAGAAAAAATCATCCTATCAAGATGCGTGAGATTCTTCACATTCAGGGTGGTCAGTGCGGCAACCAGATCGGCGCCAAGTTCTGGGAGGTGGTGTGCGCCGAGCACGGTATCGACCAAACCGGCCGCTACGATGGCGATTCAGATCTGCAGCTTGAGAGGGTCAACGTTTATTACAACGAAGCCAGTTGCGGCCGCTTTGTCCCACGTGCCGTCCTCATGGATCTCGAGCCCGGCACCATGGACAGCCTCAGATCTGGACCCTACGGTCAGATTTTCCGACCCGACAACTTCGTCTTCGGCCAGTCTGGTGCTGGTAATAACTGGGCTAAGGGGCATTACACCGAGGGTGCTGAGTTGATTGATTCTGTTCTCGATGTTGTCAGGAAAGAAGCTGAGAACTGCGATTGCTTGCAAGGTACTTCTTTTTTCTTTTCAATGCAGACCAACTGTTTGATGAAATGCCCGTGTGGTCGTATGCCTTTAAATTATTGTTTTTTCCCAGTTCTCTTCAAAGATTTGCTGATCTGAAAACGTTGTGAGGTGTTCTTTTTGTTAGATCTGATGTTAATTTAGATCTGTTGGTGATTTTAGAGATGTAGATGCACATAACATGTAAAAGAGATTAATTTATTTAATTATTACATTATATAATTGCAGGGTTCCAGGTGTGCCATTCATTGGGAGGAGGAACAGGATCTGGAATGGGGACTCTGTTGATTTCAAAGATTAGGGAGGAGTATCCAGACAGGATGATGCTTACTTTCTCTGTATTCCCATCTCCCAAAGTTTCGGACACAGTTGTTGAGCCATACAATGCTACTTTGTCTGTTCATCAGCTTGTAGAAAATGCAGATGAGTGCATGGTTCTTGACAATGAAGCTCTTTACGACATTTGTTTCAGGACTTTGAAACTCACCACCCCCAGCTGTAAGTTTTTATTGCCCCTGATTTTTTTTACGAGTATTCGGCTTTGTTCCCATCTTTAAATACTGTCTGCAATGCATCAAAATTTCATTATTGGCTGTGTTTGCTGCTTTCATTTATTTGATGTATGTTAGTTGTAAATGATATGGGATGTCGTTGCCGATTAGTCATCATTTAACTTGCATTCTCAAGATTGATTCGAGATATGTTTTGAACTTGCAAATTAGTCGTCATTTTACAAAATTGATTTCCTTTCAAACACACGCACACTCACATATACATGTACATGTTGTTTGTTCTACAATGGTCATCTTTTGTCACTAACGTCACTCTTCACCCGATTGCTTTCAAGAATTTTTTTTCATTTTCTGTTACTGAAATTGCAACATCGTTTACATGCACGGAATATTTTTTTTTTCATTTTCTGTTAAAGCATATCTATTACAAAATTGTTTGTTAACTATGTTTGTTTGTTCTAACAGTTGGTGATCTGAACCATTTGATCTCCGCAACAATGTCCGGAGTCACATGCTGCCTAAGGTTTCCTGGACAGCTGAACTCCGATCTGCGTAAACTAGCAGTGAATCTCATTCCATTCCCACGTCTGCACTTCTTCATGGTCGGGTTCGCACCACTCACCTCACGCGGGTCCCAGCAGTACCGTTCCCTCACAGTTCCCGAGCTGACTCAGCAGATGTGGGACTCAAAGAACATGATGTGCGCAGCCGACCCTCGCCACGGTCGCTACCTAACCGCCTCGGCCATGTTCCGAGGAAAGATGAGCACAAAGGAAGTCGACGAGCAGATGTTGAACGTTCAGAACAAGAACTCCTCGTACTTCGTCGAGTGGATTCCAAACAACGTGAAGTCGACTGTCTGCGACATTCCACCAACCGGGCTGAAGATGGCGTCGACTTTCATTGGAAACTCGACATCGATTCAAGAGATGTTCAGGAGGGTGAGCGAGCAGTTCACAGCTATGTTCAGGAGAAAGGCTTTCTTGCATTGGTACACTGGTGAAGGAATGGACGAGATGGAGTTCACGGAGGCGGAGAGCAACATGAACGATTTGGTGGCTGAGTATCAACAGTACCAAGATGCAACTGCTGATGAGGAGGGAGAGTATGAGGAGGAAGAAGAAGAATACCAAGACTAAGCTAAGCAGCTTTTGAATGAATGAATGATTTGATTATCTCTTTCTCTCTCTTGTTTTATTTAGAATTTTGTTGCTATTGAATATTGTGGTTGTAATCTCAACTTCCAATTGCAGCTTGGGGGCAAAACTTTTTTTGGAGGGGGAAAGGTGGTTTCATTTTTTAGAATGTTTTGTTATTTGTATTTTGGGAATACTTAATTTGCAAACTTTATAATGCTATGATGCTGCAGATTTGTGTTTACTTTTGTGTTTTTGCAATTTCAATATAAATGATTACCAGAAAATGAAATCCTGGATTTAGAGACAAATGATATTACATATCAACATTGCAGAGTTTTCTGTTCGAAAAATGATATATAATTTTACAGCAGCGTCTCAAACATTGTGGAATCTTTGATTTATTGAAACAATTTTTAATGGTTTATAGAAAGTAGTGTAAATCTCACATGGGAAAGGCATATTCTGCTTCATTCTGACCACCTCGGGAGTTGTGTACTCAATTTTTATATGTTTAGTTAGTTGTGAGTTTTCTCTCAACTTGATTTATTTATAAAATTCAAATGCTATTCATAGAACGTTTTTTACTCAATTGTAGTAAGATTTATTTCATTGGTAACTTTTCAATAAAAAAATCACATATTCGTGTTATAGTGCACAAAATGTAGTGACTAAATTCGTGTACAAATGCACGTACGTAATCTATGTGTTTTATCTGTGTGTTTTATCAGTATAGAGCACGGAAGCACAAAATTGGGGGCTTTTATGATTTCTTTCGTTTCGTGCAGTAGTACACGAAATGATAGCTTTCATTCCGTGAGAGTCTACACGAAATGAAAGCTTAGAGCATCTCCTGTCTATAGGAGGAAGGGTGGGTATGAGACATAGCTAGAGTGTTTAGTGGATATGAAGGAGGATGGGGCTCTGGGGTGGGGCCCAAAATATCATTGACGTCATTGTGTTCCTCAAAATCTTCTACTAGTAAAACAGAACGAGCATCGATGGGGCCCGACTAAGTCGACTTGCCGTACGACCACAACTTAAGCATATGTCGCGCATGTTCAATATATAATTATATTTAAGTATAACACAATCAAGTATAAACACTTTAAATAAAATTTATTAAAATTAATAAATATTACCTTTCTCTCACAGATGCCGTAGGCAAAGTGTGCTCCGAAAACGTACTCATGCATCATCCTCGTCCTCCTGCGGATCCATATGTGCATCCATCTCCGCCTCCACCTCCACCTCTATCGCCTCAGGTTCTCGTGGTTGTTTAAAAATCATTGTTCGTTCGCCACGTGTGTAGAACTAGTAACCTTTCGATTATGTGTTCTGCCCTCTCGTTGTGCAGTAGATTCCTCCACCGAATCCGCAGGGGGATGAATCATAGGCCCCTTCCCTTTTCCCATCTTCATTTTTTTAATCCAATTAGACATCCTGCAAATATAAGAGATATTCAAATTAGTAAATTTGAAATTTAAAAAAAAAAAAAAAAAAAAAAAAAACCCCACTGCTGAACGCCCATATCGGGCCTCCAAACCGGACGCGGACGCCCAAACCGGGCGCGCCTAGCCTAACAGAATGCCCGGTTTAGGCGTTCACCGAGCGCATATTTCCTCAAAAAACAGCTCTATAATTCGATTTGTAGGGCTGTTTAACATGCAATTACAAACGAAATTTCATACCCAATGCAATTCAAACGTTTAGGAGTTGAAAAAACCTCAAAATTTCGATGAATTTGGCTTCAGTTTGCTTCAATTCGAATTTTTTCAATTTTTTTTTGAATATTCGGTTTTTTTTTTGGGGTGGGGGGGGGGGAGTGGGTGGGAGAGTGTTTTAGAGAGAGTTTTTTGGGATATGAACTGCAAATAGCAAAGTTGTAACCCCAAAACGCATTTTACCGTGTAATAGCTAGAATAGAGAAGAAAAAGGAAATACAAAATTGTTTAATAAAAGGCATTCCAGACATTTCGAGTGGGTAATGAGCTAACTGTACGCGAAACTTAAAAGGGGGAGGGCAATGTCCAAAGTATACGATTATGAACTGTCCCGCATATGAAACTAGACAAATGGGATTAATAAGCTAAAATCCCAAGAAAGAATTTGAAAATTCTATGTATGTTATTAATTCCTAGGAAAAAAATGATGAAAATGATTTTATGAAAAAGTATTATTTTATCTTGAGGAAGAAAGAAGAAACAAAAAGATAAGAGGAGAGAGAAGACGGCAGAAGAGAGAATAAATAGGAGATATATTGAAATAAGATGAAAGACATGAGATTGAAACGGAAATAACAATGCTACACCCGGTGAATAAAACCACCCTTAATTGATAAAATTCCCACTACTGGTTCAGTTATGACTCATGGGGTTTTAGAAATATAATAAAATAAATTAGAAAGAACACATGTCAAGAAGAGAGCTACTCGGTGAAAATCACCGGATAAATAGGAGATATATTGAAATGAGATGAAAGACGTGAGATTGAAAGTGCAGTCTCTAGGGCGGAGAACAATCTTCAAATTTCACTTGCGGTTTTCCTCACTTTTTTTAGGAAAACTCATTCACTGTTTTAGTTCAAGTTTTTTCCACTTTTGTACTCCCAAAATATTTTAGTTAATATTTTACATATCCAACAAAAATGAAAAACAATTTACCTAAGGTATTCCCTCTATTACTTGCTATTTTCCTTACCCATTTTTACTTACTACTCATAATAAAATTCAACAAAAGAAAATTCTTTAAACAATCTTACATTTTTTTATCAACAACAATACAAGAAGCATCGTATTTAAATATTCATATACTCCTCAGCAGTTAACGAATTCAAACTTCAATTACAGAAATAATATTCATGAACATGAACAAAGATGTTTATCATAATACAATTCACAAACAAACTTGCACTAAAGGCCGCATCAGCAGAAACTCGAAATATACGACTGGGGCAGCGCAACCAACATAGCAACAAGAAATGATTCTGCCAACACAAGAAGAGAGAAAGGAACCACACTTGACAGAGGATTAGCAACAAACATAAACAAAGCCATTTCGCCTTTAATTTCAACCTAAAACCGAGGAAAGCATATTCCCAGTTCTTCTATTGGTGGATATGTAAAATTGAATTCATTAGAAAGCTCTGTAAATTAATTAGGAAAGCCATTTCTCCAGATCATTTTTGTAGCCCAAAAACAAGTCCTACAAATTTTTTCTTTCGAAAATCGACCCTGACGCGAATCCTACAGTCCGAGTCCTCATAATTTTGTCGTTCACATTTTTGGCAATTTATGAGTTTATCTTTTTTTATACTGGTATCATATAAAGGAAGTTCTGCTCCACCTAAAAGAAACTACAAAACCTAAGACTAAATTTTTGCACAAAGTTCCAAACTTATCCAGTGCATTAATCATGTCAAAATTTATGAGAACAAAGTGAAAGTTGTGATCCCAAAAGGAAAAGTGATAAAACTAACAGGCCAATTTCCTGAAGTACCCAAAAGGGAAAGATGCATCATAGCAGTTAATCAAAAGAACTTCACGAATCAATAAGCAAAATTAAGTACCTAATTTTCCACTTTTCTTTTCCATATGTATTACTCATTTGTTTAAGTCATCCTCTCATTTTAAATAAATTATTAAAGGAAGTTTTCTTAAGGAACACGATAACTGACGAGAACACTTCACACATCTTAAGTCGAAAGTCATTATGACCAACCTACAAATATACAGCAAACTCCTTTTATATGATAAGTTTATTATCCTCCTGACTCTAAATACAAAATCATGTCCTTGTTTACGATAACCAAGACAAATCATCCCTAATAATGGAACATGATTGAAACAGGGCTCGATGTATCGAATGCTGATGCACACAAAATTGGAGACACACAATTGCCAATTAACAGGTGTCTAAATCTAGTAAAGATAGGAAGCAGCCCACTTACTGCAAAAGCGTTTTAGGCAAGTTGTGAGACTCATCCAACAACACAATTGCTGAACCCAATGTTCGATTCAGAAAGCTAATATTATTTGAGCGTTACAATATCTAATCAAGAGCTTTCCTAAAAGTAACTCTATCTTAACCTCCTGGTTATCAATGGGCACGTTTAATATGAAGTTCCTCCATTCACGAGAAAAGAAATTAACACCTCTTTCAAATACCAAGGACTACTACAGAGACTAACCCCAAGGACTTCCATACGAGAAAGATCGTAGAAGACTGAGGTGTAACTGAGGAAAAATAAATTAAATGCAATTAAACACTTTGCACCAACCATATCCTTACCCCCAACTGAAAAGCGAGCAACCATCCGCTTAACTTTCAGCTTTTACTCTCTTCTCTTCCCGAAGAGACAGGTTGATTGATATGATCTATTATTAATTTCACTTGAACTCGATATAACAGTAGCAGGACTATGAATTAGTTCTCAAACTGCAGAAGAGAGTTCAAAGAGTTAAAGAGAAATATCCTACAACATTTTGATAATAACTTGCTGTAAAACTGTAATCCTCAAACTCGACCACTGCCTAAATATTTATTTAATAACTTGGAGAAAGATAAAGAAACGATTGAATCCTAAGTACTCGTAAACCAGAATTCTGATAGCATTTCGCAGAAAGTGCTAAATTTGAGCCAGTCCATTATCTCTATGGCTCTATTCAGTTTAAGTACAAAAATCTAAATCCAAATTAGCAGCTCAAATCCTAAATGAAGTAACGGAAATCACCCAACTTTAAAGCTTTATTGTACTAAGGACCCTTCTCTCAATATTTTTACGTGTACTATTTCATTACAGTTTTATATGAAATTCCACGAGCCTGAGTGTACGGGGTTTGTTGGTCAACCTTTCATTTTGCAACTGTGCAATGTTTATTTGGCTATCAAAAAGAGGTGTCAAGCTCTAAAGTTGAACTTTCTTTACTTTTGGAGAGGGAATTTAATATACACAGGAAAAATAAGAGAAATAACCAACCTTTTGCCATCTAACTATTTACGGCTTTGGCTTGCAGTTATAATAGATTTTCCTAGAAAAAATCTCTACATCAAAATTAAATTCATACTCGCTGGCAATTTTGCAGGCAACTAGAATTAGCTGTCAACTTTATTCTTGTTATCTATATCTGGATGCAAACGGAAGACACAATTTCACTTCCTCATTTTCTGTTCAATTCAGCTTGAAACACATGCAGATTAATTTAGCATATCTGATAGTAGTACGTTATGGGGATGTGCAACCATCATTGTCTGTATGCTTTCAGGGAATTCTTGTGAGAACAAAGATAGAAGAAAGAACTTCGAAAAAACTTCTTAAATGAGCCCTAATTTAAAATTAATTACTGCCAAAAAAGTTAAAGAGCTGGGAATCTGATTCATCAAACCATAAATGCAAACCACTTTGCCTACATAACTCAACATGTAGTAAAATAGTAAAATAGAAAGCAATTATTACTAAAATACAGGTGTCATATTTTGCACAAGTTACAGCAACACTAAAGTGACTTTCCATTGCGTGGAATTATAATGAATTCGCGCAAAAGTACATCATATGCTTCCTTTGTCATGTCTAAGATGTCATAAAATTTCTCTGCTTAATATTTTGTAGTCTCATTTATAGTAAAGTATATCTCAAAATGGCAATAAACACAAGGTATGTCTATTGTCCAAAACGTCAAATTACTGATTGCAAAAAGGCCTAAGATTTAAATTGTCTTGTTTAAGATATCGAATCTCCAATAAATGGATTTGGCTAGTTAAAAGCCTTATTAAATATCCAATTATACCCCAAAAACATTTAAAACATAATTAGTCAAAATTCCTCCCTAAAAGTTCTATCATGTTTGACCGTCTGGATGTCTCGAGAAGAAATGATAGAAAAACATGACAAGTGACGATACGTTAAACACCATCTCACCGTGTTGAATTGGAGATTCACAATGGAACTAAAGTGACCAAACAAATCAGATGTTGGCACTAAAGATATACCAAGTATTAGAACACATAAAAAGGAGGAACTGAAGAAGGTCAATACATTAACTAACTCAACTCATAGATTTTTTAGGTTCTAGGCCAGCTGTTAGTCTAAAGAGTCGCAATAATCCAACTCTAATATGCATTAACCCACTCTGTTTCCTTTCTTCAGGTACCATTTCATTTGTAGATTTCTACATCATGATCATAAAATAAAGCTTGTGAAAAAATTCAATAAATTAATATTCAGTACAAGTTGCAAGCTGTATCACCGTGGTCTATTAACATTACACTGATCAACCATTAAGAAAAATCTTGATCTTTATCTAATAGATAAACTAATGGATATAATGGAGTTTGTGAACTGGATTTTGGATAATTTACATAATGAATTACTTTTTTACTTGTGTTTTTCTATGAACAACTAGGAGATTTACTTTTGTGCTCCTAATTGATTTCAGATAGTAGAGTCGAAATATAAAACAAGCATGGCTAAGTTACTTCATATATGCATAGGACACAATATACAGTTGTACTTGCTCTATTTAATATATACATCCACTAAATGGAACATAAGTACAGAGCAGGTCCCAGGAGTGTCAATGACCTCTTGACTAAATACAAGGACAGTCTCATTTTCAAGTTACTATACGTGGATACCATCTATTATGATTGCAGCATAATATATATCCTAAAATAGACGAGTTATATTAGTATAAGGCATGTCTTTAAAATTGTTCAAAAGTTAATCCATACATATCAATTTCGGATTAGATCACTACCACAAGAAGTATCCATATCTTTCGTCCACTTAAGATAGTAAGTAGTATTCTCTATTATTCCTTTTCTTTCAATCTAACAATTTTTCAGGTGCAGGCATGGTGATATCAAATCCTAATCGCAAGAGATGCCTTCAAAATTCGCAAAAAATCCACAAATCATTCTCGCAGTAGTAGAGCATTATCATAAGAATCTATTCATATTTTTGTCGATTTTGCATAGCAGTATTCTCTACTATTCCTTTGTTTCAGTCTAAAATGTTTTTTGGTTAAAAGGGTGGTGATAATTATCATATAGGTTCCACAAAATTGACCATTAGTTTCTGATCATTTAAGCAGAGCATATATGTCAAACACCATGTGCATTGTGCCAGAATATATAAGAGTGAGTTTTCGACTTCAGACGAAGAACGCATGCTGATCAGATAATCAAATAAAATGAGCTGAAAGGAGAAATGAGCACACAGAATAAACTCCCATAGAGTCAACAGAGATAAAGTGCGATACAGTTTAACAAACATTATAATCATCAGTCTATTAGAAAACTACCCATGCTGGCAAATATGATGTTCAAAGTCATAAATCGACAAACCTAAGGGCCCACAATAGTCCAACCCAAAAACCATCTCCAAAAAACACAAAGCAGCTCCCTGAAATGATAAAATGAGTATAAGCCAAACTTGAGAAAGTTAAAAGACAACAACAAGCTAACAGATGAGTAGATAAGGTGCAGCTCAAGACCTGACCAGAATAGAACTTCCAGGATAATTAGCATCTACCAGAGTCATGTTCTGCTTCCACGGCCACCTTTCCTAGTCCTGTTTCCCCCTTCATGCGCCATACGACCACTGGTTCTGTACAGCAATGACAAAAAAAAAACACAATAGCACCTTGCCTTTGATTATGCCACATAAAGTAAGATAATTACTCACCTCTGCTTCTTTCTGTTGTGCAATTTGATATTTTTAACCATTTCCATAGCCATCTGCTGGTGCTCCCTAGTTTGAGAGTGCATGTCCAAACCTTCAACAGTCTCGCAGTCAACTCCACATATTCTGCACCATCCGGTGCTTCTCTTCCTAGAGTGATCAAAAGCATCCATCCCAGCCTACAGATTGCAAAGCGCAGTAACTAGTCAGAAGAATTTAAGACATATACATAAGTAAGTTGAATACTATTAATAATCAACCATACAAACACCAATGCAATAGAACTAAATAAAAGTCGGCAAACGCATTGCATTAAAAACTTACTGCATAATTTCCAGAATTAGGAAATCCAGGAAGTGAATAGTTGTTCCTCATCGGAGGCTCCCCAAAATGTGGATAACTTCCAGGGACACCTGATTCTCCCACACGACCATGACCCGAAAAAGCACCAGATCCAGCATTTTCATCCGTATGAAAATATCCTGGGCCTGAGTTTCCCCTCATTGGATGGCCTGGTCCATCTGGACCAAAAGCATCATGTTCACTAAATCTAGGATTCCCCATGCCACCATTGTCACCTCTTGGCGGGTGCCCAGAGAAGGAGGGAAACCTTCCATCACGAAAAGAATCAGAAGAAAGATTTGAAGATCTCGATCCTTCACCAAATCTATGTGCTTCCCTACTATCATCAAAAGTTGAGGTGTTACGTGATAAACTGGAGGGGCCGCCGAAACCACGTGGTGAAGAGTACTCCCTATCAGGACTTCGGCGGGTAAAATGTTTCATGTGATGTTGCCCAAATTCAGGGCCAGGTCCAAACCCGTCTCCATGACTGTGCCCACCAGAAGGATGATGTGGCAACATTGGCCCACGAGGAGCTCTATCAAGAGACCCTACATTCACCAAAAGAAGTAAAGAAAAAAAAAGGTCATGGAAGAGTATGAAAACAGTCTCCAGGAGCAAAGAATGGCTTTTAGATTTTGTTAGACTTCACCTTGGTTAAAAGTATGAGTGGGCTCTCCAGGAATGGGATTCAAATGTTCTCTAGATAAGGACTTCATTTTTTCATCCCTAGAGCCAAACATGGAGTCGGGAGCTGATCCGCCATTCACTCTCAAAAAATTAGGCTCATTTGAATTATTTTTCATAGGACCACCACCATCAACAGAACCGGGCATCCGATCTTTGGACATTGAAGCTTCGTTAGGCCTACCCACATGCGGTGGACCGTACTGACCCTCAAATTGAGGTGGCGGAGCTCGACCCTGAGGACCAGATTGAGGTTCAAAACTTTGTTGTGGAGGGCCAAAATAACCAGGCCCCCTTCCCTCAGCTGGGTTAGTAGATTTACCATGAGGGAAACTGCCTCGTCCTTCAGTCCCTACATTAGATGGAGGCTGTCCTTGCACTTGCGCTTGAGGCCTTTGCTGGTAGAAATCATGAGATTGCGGTGGCAATATATGCCCTTCTGCACTGGAAGCAGATGCAGCAGTGTGAGATTGTGTCATCTGATTCTCGCGGTCCGGTTTTCTCAATGAATCAGAATCTGCCAACGAATGACCAGCTTCTTCAGAGATTTCATGTTGCTCCGGTGGAGCCTTAACATCCCCTTCTTGCTTGATAACAGACTTCAAACCTTCCTTTGCAGTATTGTCAGTATCATTAAGAACTGTTCCCTTTTCAACTGGTCCTTTTGAAGGTGATCTAGTTTCTTGGACGGCTGCATTCTGCTCCGGCACAGAAGTCTTCATATAGTTTTGATTTATAGGTGTCTGAGTCGAAGCTAGTTGTGCCGGATTAAATGCACCAGTTGAAAACGAATGGTTTTGTGGCTGTATTCCTTGGTTAGGCATCGAGGCTCTCCCATCATAATTCTGAGATGGCGGGGGTTGGGCGGGACCAGATGGGAGCATCTGGGATTGCATGGGCTGTTGATATGGAAGCTGTCCTTGCTGATGCAACTGATTCGGAAATGAAGCAGTAAACTGCTGCTGTTGAGCATAATGCTGAGGTGCAGCTTGTTGAAATGGATGAAAGACGGCACGAGGTTGAATTGGATGAGTCGGTTGTTGTGCATGAGGTGGAATCTGCTGCTGAGGCTGTGAGGAAGGAATGCCAGGGACCTGATGCTGCGGTTGCAACGGTGTTGATGACTGTTGCAGGGGTGGTCGTATAAGTCCAGGTTGTTGTGGTTGCACTGGATGTTGCTGCGAGTGCATTTTCTGCGGCGGCTGAGGTTGTTGATAAGAATGATGCCCACTAGCAGGAGGACCCGGTGGAGGCTGAGGCAGTACAGCAGGAGCTGTTGAATAGTTGGGTTGAGAAGGGAGGATATGAGGTTGGGGCTGAGCATAATAATGGTGTGGTTGTGGTTGTGGTTGCGGTTGCAACTGGTTTGAAGATTGAGTGTGAGGAGGTTGAAGCTGCATTTGAGATTGCATTTGAGGGTGATGCATCTGCACATGAGGTTGCTGGTATTGAGGCACCTGAGGATTTTGGACAGGACGCATGCCCATTGCTTGGGCAAACGGCAATGGCTGACTATGAGGCGGCGGTGGGGGCGTCTGCAAGGGAACCTGAGTCTGCGGTCGTGTTGGAGGTTGTGTTTGTTGCTGAGGAACTTGATAGTTCGGCGCATGAGCTTGTGCCTGTCCCTGAGGTGGACCTTGCACCTGGGGCGGAGCTTGAGGTGGCTGTGATTGAGCCTGCCCATGTGCTTGTGGGGCTTGAGGAACAGGCTGCTGCTGCTGTGGCGGCAGCGGCTGTTGGGACGGCGGTGGCGGCTGCTGCGGCTGAGGGTATACATGAGACTGGGGCTGTTGATATTGTTGATAGGAGTAATACTGTTGTTGGTAGGGATCATATCCCATATATTGCTGATAATATTGCTGATATTGCTGATGATACCACTGCTCCGGGGTTGGAGCAGAAACGGGAGCAACCTGAGAGTGGACATTATTAACTTGCAGGTTCGGATTTTGCACAGGCACTGGTGCATTAACAACTGGAGCATTCTGAGCTTGAGATGGTGGTCCAGCAGGTTGAGCAACAATCTGGTTCACCCCTGCAGTTGTTTTATCTGCAGCCTGTTGCAATTCATATGATGGCACCATGAGATTTACATAGTAATCAAGAATAAATCATTTCAAAAAATAAAATAAGCATTAATTCACTCACAGGACAATTCTTGGCGTGCTCAACTACTTGCCTATGCGGAATTTGGATTTGACATTTATTGCATACGACAGGTGAATTTCCAAAGGAGCACCCAGAACAATGGGACGCACCTTCAGTGATATAACCGTGCCATGTACATCCACTTCTATGGAAACGACAATACACCTTGATCTTGCTAATGGTTTCTGCAAGTGCTTTATTCGAATCCACTATTGGCTGCGACAATGTTAACAATGTCAGAAAATGACAGGAAATTAACAATATAAATCAGCATATATGAGGTGGGGTAACCTTAGAATCCGATTCAGTCACCAAATGTCCATCAAAAGGGCAGACCCCGCCACTATTTGACATATATTCCAAGCAAGCTTTGCAGTACAGATGAGTGCAATATGCCTGAAATGCTTCATTCGGAAACACAAGTGTGCGACAAACAGGACAGAAGTATTCTCCGGGGTAATTATCAATGTCAACTACGCACTCAGAATCATAACCCATCACCTCTCCAGCATATAGTTTAATCCCAACAAGCTGCAATGCCAGTACAAAGCTATGTCATCCAGATAGAAGCAGTATATCTCTGATTAATAAAGCAAGATTAAATTACTTGCACACGTGTAATAATAATGGAAAGAAAACTTAGCATTATCGTTATATGCACGTGTAAGTAGTGGACCCACGTCAGATATTAATCGTTATATGCACGTGTAAGTAGTGGACCCGCATCAGACATTATAGTTATATACACGTGTATTTCCAAACAAATTGTCGGTACGGAATGATCAAACGAGTTGTTATACATGGAAATTAATTACCACACCACTTTTTCTACATGGAAACTAATCATAACACCTCACGAAAAAGATCAAACCCGTATCCAAGAAATTGTTGATGTAGACAATCGGAGCATTGCTTTAAGTCTCTTAAACACAAAGATCCGTTTAAAAATGAGAAATCAAATCAGAAATTCCTTAATTGGACGGTTCAGGATCTTCACCCAAAAATGGCTTGACTAATTTTGCTAATCAAAAGAATCAGATGTAAACATTTTAGGAGACTTAGGGCAAGCTCTTCTCATAATTCATACTCCATTAGTTAACCTAATTAATCGAATGTACAAATTCAAAGAAATGTAATAAATAACCAAAAACAGCATAAACATACAGTGTAATTAAAAGAATAAGCAGCGCACCACGATCGCATAATTAAAAACACTTTACACCATATCTGTGTTCAAAATAAAATTCAGCACACCATGATCGCAGAATTAAATTCAATTTCTACTCCGCGGATCAAGAACCAAACATGCAGGAACAGAGGCATAAAGAAGATGAATAAACATTGGAAATTTCATAGATAAATGTAAAAGTACTAAAACCCTAGGTTGAAAATAAGATGTTTTTTATTCGTTTGTTTACCGTATCTTCTTGCCCTGGACTCACAGCTATGGAGACGAGAGTGAAATGCAGCCGTGAATGGATGATTACGCGCCGGAAAGTGGAGCTAGAGAGAGAAAGAAAGAGAGAGAGACAGAGAGAGAAAATAGGCTGAGGCGGTGAAAGGCAGTAGAATTTCCGACTGAAGCAATATGAAACGTCATTTTAGGGTTACTCAAAATATATATTTACAGAAATTACTTTTCAATCTTGCTAAAATTACATAAAATCCCCTGTTATTATTAAAAAAAAATTTGCAATAATCCCCATTTATTTGGGAGTATAAATTATTGAAGTAACCAAAAATAAAATATTGGCAACATTTAGTTTTCACATTTTAGTTATAATTCTATGGATAAAATATTTTTTTTAATATAACTCAACTAAATAGAAAATTATTGTGTTATCATAACTCTATAAATAGTTGAGAATTTATTTTTATTTAAAAGTATAAATTATTGAAGTAATTCAGAAGATAGGTGAAGTTCTCATTTTTTTCGGAATCATAAGAAAATTTAACTAATCGTAAGAGATGGCAAATAGTAATCAGGTCGCGCTTTGATGAAGATATCATATCTATAGTTTATTGGATGTCGTGATAGCAACAGTTTAGTGGAAACAATAATAAAATTGAAAAAAATGGAAAACGTGGCAAAATAAATTAAAATATAAATATAGTAAGTAGTAAGCGTAAGGTGGTCAAATCCGAGTTTAATCTCTTTATCGACACTTTCTAGGCCAAATGTATCGCATCGTAACCGTGTTTACGTCTTTCATGTGAATTTAGAAATTATTGCACAAGAAAGAATGTTTGTGCACCTAGATGGTTCCATTAATTAAAAAATAGAAATATTAGGTAATGCGAATTAGGAAAAGACAAATTATTATTCATAGTACATCCAATAAAAATAGAACATCGAAGAAAAACTTAAATTGATTAAAAACTCAGTTTAAACGGGTAATTTCAAAGAAAAATTACTTATTCTTTTAGTATGAGTCCATTTAAGAAATAAAATTAAAAAAATAATAGTTTATTCGGAAATTAGTGAAAAACTCTTACCATGATATATATATATATATATATATATATATATATATATATATATATATATATATATATATATATATATATATATATATATATATATATATATACACACACACTAGTTGTGGATGGCACCACGCGATGGACGATGTTATTTGTTCATAATTAGTGTCTCGTTCGTAGAGAATGACCTCTTGAGCAGTTTGGACGAATAAAAAGAAAGGGCAAACTTGCCGATGTGATTTTCTAGAGCTTTGTTTAAAATGGATTTGTAATTCGAAATTGGGAGAAATGGTGGAGAAGGAAAAAAATAATGGGCTAAATAGTTATTACAATTGGGAAAAAAGATGCTCATAATTATTAGATTTTACTGAAAATAATTATAAATTCATATTAAAAATTAAGAAGGTATGGAAACAAATAGTTAAAAGCTGAGTCTTAGAGAAGTTTGAAGTGGGAAAAAATAAGAGGTGACGTGTTGTGACACTTTTTGGAGGTGGGGCCTGTGAGACTTATGTTAGAATTCAATGCACGAGAGAGAATAAAAGAGAAAAGAAAAAGAAAAGGGTGAGAGAAGGAAAGACTATGGTTGGAGGCTATTTTCTATCATCTGATCGCTAAAATATGGCCGAGGTCAGGTAGGGTCTGAATGACCGCCATGTGTCTAAAACAAATATATATTTAAATTTTGATTGAGTATTGTCCTAAATATCCTTATTATACAAAAATCAAATTTAAAGAATAAAATTAATAAATTTATCTTAAATGACATTATTATCCTTTATATGACTTCATTTCTTCAACAATTCTCTCCTGCTCCCGTCTTCTAATTTTGACGGCCGTTAATCCCACATTTTTCGACGAAACCGTTGCATTAGGGAAGTCAAATTTTGATGAATCAGGTATCTCATTAATTGAATATGTTTGGTTTTTGTCGAAATTTTTCAATTTAGAGTTATGTTATTATTTGAATAATTAGGGGTTTGTCGAAATCTTCTTGATTAAGTTTAATTGCATTATTCGATTTAGAGTACAACGGCGGCGGTGAATTAGAGCACAACAGCGGGGATGGATTAGACAACAGTTGCGAGAAAAATTCAGCATCGTCAACTAAAGCGGAAGAAAGTGTTTTGAATTCAAACCGGGAAGGGAACAATGGCGACACAGACGATGAAAGTTTGCGACTCATTCAAACATTTGTTGATGCAAACGAAGCAGGTGAGCATTATCAAAGTTTCGCGCAACTCTCTGGATTTGACATTCACAAAAACTTATGAAAAAAGATAGGCGACATCATTTTGAATAGGGTATGGGTTTGCTCTCGAGAGGGCCACCGTAAGGAGAGAATTGATGAAATCGATCGATTGCGTGGTCATAGACCAGAGATACGGTGTGGATGACGTGCTCTATTTTGTGTTGCTCTGAATCGTTCTATTGGGAGATATACCAGTCATATTCTTCGTTGCAATAGATAATTCTATCTTAGGTTGTTTTGGAAATTTTTGTTTGCCCGAAATTTACACATCAAATTCATTTAAATGTACCCGAGTTTGTTAGAAAATATGGTACATAATATTGACCCTAGTAACAAAGATAATGTTGGATACGATGACCCATGTCAGGTACAAACTTAGTCAAGTTTTGGACCTTCTGGAACAATTTGGTGGAGGCTGTGCAACTGTCATATTGAATAGGAAGGAAGTGTACAATTACTTGAACGGTGAAAGATTGAAACGAATTGAATCGAGGGATGTGAATACTTTGTTGGGTCTGTTGGGATGAGGTTAAAAGACAAAACACTCGAATACAAACATGGTATCGATCAAGGTGGAGCTCTAATAAGAATATTTTGGTACGACGGAATATCAAAGGTTGAGTATGAGGAGTTTGGTGGTGTCTTAGTATTTGACAGCACCTACAAGACCAACATATATTATTTTCCAGTAATGTTGTTATCCAGAGTCAACTCCCATTTGTGCACATGTACTTTTGGAGTTGCTATATGTACAAGGAGACGACTCAACAATAGACGTGGTTGTTGCAAAATTTGCTAGAATCCATGGGAGGAAAGCCACCCAAACCTGTTTTGATAGATCAAGACGGGGCAATTCGCGCAACCACTAGGATTGTGTTTCCTAAAGCAGCACATCGTCTTTGTTGCTGGCATATTTCACGTAATGTCGAATCCAATATAAAAAGTCAAGCTTCTCGACACAATTATCCAATTTAATGAATATGCCTTGCTCCGTACCCGAATTCGAAGATAGATGGTCTGCATTGATTGCTAAATTTGGTCTTACAGACAATTCATACCTAGCTGATCTTTACGGAAAATGCAGTCAATGGCATAATCATTTTTTCGGGGCAAATTCTTCGCTATGATGAGGAGCACACAACGTGCGGAGTCAGTGAATACCTCACTTAAACAGAAAATGTGTGCCGATTCCACCCTTACAGATTTTCTCAGACAATACCATACACGTTTCTTAAATAGTATTCGAAAAGGTTTAACGAACTGCAGAGAGAATCCGATGTTAAGCCAAAACAATCAGGTAAAGGCTTAGTAGGCCATCTTGAGATCCATGCCGCACGCATCTGCACCAGAGCCATTCTTAACTTGTACGGATGAGGCAGACATAGTTATCATCAGAAGATCTGATATTGTAGGCCACCGCCATACATTCAATTTCGAAGACGACAACTTCGACTTGGCAGACAAATTGACGACCGTCGTCTTGGATAATGAAGAATTCATATACGAATGTAAGATGCTGGAATCTGATGGTATCCCTTGCCGGCATCTCATATGTTGTTTTAAGAATCTGAAACTGAATCATTTTCCGGCTAAAAGCATCAATTCCCGGTGGTTTGTCGATGTTGGCAAGCGGCTCACCTCTGCTTTCTCGTATCAGCAGACGGGCAACCTCTATACTAGTGGGCGTGCTAAGATGAGGGAGGACGGGATTGAATTTAATATCACACCGTCTCTCGAGGATAATGAATATAGTTTACAAGCACAGTCTGACGGTGAGGATCCAATTCAAAATGTCAAACGTCCCAGAAATGTGGTGGATCCTTGTAAAATTGTTTCAAAAGCTGGATCCATACGAAAAAAGCCGTTATGCTCGTTTTGCAGGTTAGTGCGATATGTATCTATTTTATATATATATAAAAAATTAGAGCATATTATTTTTTTTTTTTTTGAGGAGTTTGAAGGAAATCCGGACAAAAGACAACCATTTGTGAGCTTAATCCAAAAGTTGGTTGTTTTTCTCATGGTAAAGTTAATTCTAAGCAGGCAGTAAGTGGTTGTGACAATGTGGGCACTAGAAGCTACGTTCCCCAGTTTTCTCGAATGACATCGCAAACTGGGACGTCGGAGCATAGTCTTGCGGACATGAATGTTATGTCACATTCAAGTATTCCTTACAATATGCACCATCAACGTTCTCAATACCAGGTTTAACAATTTATCTTTATGAACCATCTACTCAATTCTTTCACAAATATGATAATGGTAATTTATTCTTGTAATATTGAAGGAATGAAGCAGCGATGACAGTTCTTACTTAAACCCAGCATTTGTGGAAAGTATTTATCTAATGAGACCACCACAACCACGACCACGACCACCAATGTGAATTGTATTCGTGCAATTCCGCAAATTGTGACTTCTATCTATTTTTTAAATGATATTATGTCTATTTGCATATAACAACATTGAAGGACGAAACTTATAACATTTCAAACGACAAAAAAATGGGTTTTGACGCCAGTGAGTTGCTTAATCACAATTCGGTAGTACCTAAAAATGAAAATATGACAAACCACAAAACATAACTTTCGCATGATGTTGTCCATCAAGCAACCGTTGACAAACTACATGATGTATTTACGACAAAAACAAAACACGGCTACAAGCACAAGGATTGATATCATTTGTCTTCTGCACCGTCGGGGGAGAAAGGGGGCAATTCACTCGGGGCATGGATGGAGAACTTTAATCTGAGCTTCTAAAGTGGCAACTTCACCACGCTTCAACTCCAGTTGGTTATTCAGATATCCACGAATGAAATCTCGCACCATAATGCACCCTCTTTCGTCTGCAACTGGAGAAGGCGATGTGGCAAGTTTGGTAAGATAGTCCACCTTCGCATTTCATTCAAGTAGCTCACGGCTCACTCTGATCGAACCTGGTTTTTGGTTGTTTAATTTTCCAGTGAACTGAACCTTGTATTCATACTGACACAAAATTGCAAAAATCAGATAGGAAAATATAGAAATCGTGGCATGCCCTCGGCCTGTACGATCTGACGAAAAATATATTCCCCCATGTTAATATCCAGCCCCCGACCAAGTTGTTTAGATTCCAATCACAACTAAATTGGAATCCAAATAATTCAAGTGTATTTTGTACCTGCATATCCAAACCAAAAACACAATTCTATACAGAAATTTCATAATCGAATCCAATCAAGTTGTTTAGATTCCAATCACAAGTAAAATGGAATCCAACCAATTCAAGTGTATTTTGTACCTGCATATCCAAACTAGAAGCACAATTCTATACAAAAATTTCATAATTGAATCCAAACAAGTTTTTTAGATTTCAATCACAAGTAAATTTGAATCGAAACAATTCAAGTGTGTGTTGTACCTGCATACCCAAACAATGAATAATATTCCAAAACAGGACAACAGTCGATTTGTTATTCATGAGTTGGGTTCAACCGAACTCCATCCCACAAAAAAAAAATTCATATTGTTCAAATAAAAATAATTAAACATTGTTTGAAAATTACCGAATATTATAAACAAACACGATATTTTTTTCCCAGACAATCATGGAGTAGAGCCGTCAGTATGTCTGGGCACATGAACGGGAACAGTGTCAAAGAAACTTCGGATCCAAGTTTCAAAGGTGGAAAATTCACCACGTATCACATTCAACTAGTTACTTTGATTGGAAGCGGATCCACTGAATTGAAGCCAACAGCTTTGGGCGCCCTGTAACCCTACTCATACAGTAAAGAAAAGATTATAATATGAAAGGATAACACCACATGAACACGATCAGCCTCATCCAATATGTGGCGAAAAATAAATTCGCCCATATCAAAGTTCAAACCCCTTCCAATATTGCACAATGGCACTACTTGGTCGACTGATACATCATACGAATTATTGGTTGGGAACCAATTGGAACACCCAATCTCGTGAAGAACATCATAGACCTTTGTCAGATGAGAGTGTCGATGACCGATAATGGGCCACTCCACCATTTTAGCTCCAGTCAACGCCAACCACTCGTTGTCAAGCGTTGTTGGAAACCTTCCCCCATTCCTTGTGCCTAGGATTTCGTTCAGTTTGGTAGGGTTGAAATCGAACATAGCCCCGCGGATATACACTTTGCAATAACTGTTGGAGTAGGTGACCAACAAGCCAACTTGTGGCTGTGGTCTTTCCTTTCATCTTGTAATAAAACAATCGTTTTTCGTTCGTAATAATAAAATATTTCATATGGCATTCTATATCTGTTATCCCATGCAAGCAGCATAGATATAGTCCTAACGAGTTACTCTATTACTATGAGTTGATCTAGTAGAATCGTGAGATAACTCAGCAATGTAATGTAACTGTTAAACCTTGTTCCTAGTCGATGGGTTACGCGAATAATGATGATACCGGCCTTTCCCTTTTGAGACTAGCACTTAGTGTATGTGTACTGCGTCTCATCAGTGCTCGGTGTTGTGACATCGGCATACTTGAGTGGGTGCTCATACTGGATGAGTTCACTGAACTCCCTCGCCCTAGAAATCTATAAGTGGTTCTCATTCATCGAGTAATAGGTTTCTAAGATATAGTTGTACAACATTAGTCCTTAAGACCCAGACATCACCGTGACTTCACTAGAGGACCGATTGTATCGTGACCTGTCACTGAGTCCCACCGCGGACCACACCAAGGGCCAACGTTCGTGCAATCCGAAATCTAGTGTGAAGTCTGTGTATTGTAGTAGGGGATTCGAGCGCTTGAGTAGTCATGGATGTCCTGTGTGTTCTGACGGTTTATAATCCATGGAATCTCTGGCCAGAGTTGATAGTGGGGTGATTAGGGAAATGTGTTTCCCTAAGTCGCACACGAACGGATTTATAATACCTAGAACGTTCGCACGGTTATTGAACTTTATAAGAGGTCTAGGTGAACCAATGCCTCTAGTTCAATCGGGACATGTGCTGCGAAAGGATCGTACTCTAACTATATCATAAGGTTCTTGCAGGCACTTCACTTGTATCTAGGGAATCATGATGCGTAGTTGCTAGACGCCAATCTTGATTCGTTGGGCACCGATTTGATCGGGGATTAGGTAAAATGAGTTTTACTCTAATCAGGACTCTTGGGAGGAGTTCGTATAAGAACAATGTGTTGTTCAAATCACAAAGAGTTGTGAGCCCACGGCTAGCATACACCTGAACCATTGAGGGTCACACTTCTCGTGTAACATGGATCCTTGATAACAATGAGCATAGATTAATATGTTAATCTTTTCAAAGTTGGAGGTCAATATGATTGAGTCCAAGATTCGTGATTGTGGATTACGAGTCGGAATAAACGTAGAGAAAGAGATATGCGGAAATTAGTGAACTTTCTAAATTGAGAAGTTTCCCAATTTAGCAGGTCCACTGAAGTGGAAGTTTCCAATTTTGGAAATTGGAAATTTCGAAGAGGCACTCGTATCGACGAGGACTTTGAGCTCGTCACAAATATAATTTTGTTATAATTTTGTGGACGATTGTTTATTAGAAACGAGGCCGACGAGGGAATGGGCTTAATGCATCAGTGGGTCAAGCCCAATGACTTAAGCCCGCTAGGGTTGAAAACTCTAAGTATAAATAGACCTCAAACAAGAGTTTGAGATCAGATTTTTACACACCAAAACCCTAGCCGTCCAGCCCTAGCCGTCCAGCCTCTCGGCCGCTGCTGCCCCGCCGCTCCGGCGCCGATCACCGCAGGAATCCGCCGGTTTTTCCTCTCCTTTCTCTGTCGTATTCCCTTTGTTATCTAACCCCTTTGTATCTAGTGCTACAGTAGGGGGAGATCCGTTTACTCGAGGTGAAACCTAATTGGAGAGGAGCTGCTGCCCCGACGGAATTGCCACGCCGCCGCTGCACCGCCGCACGCGTCGTTGCACCGCCCACGCGCCGCCGCCGCTGACACACACGCGCCGCCGTCGCCTCACCTTCGGACCAGCTGCCGTTTTGGTGGTGTTCCTGCAGCCCCTAGGAGTGGTATAAAGCAGCTTGTACGTGTTTAAGTTTGGATTTCGATCCGTCGAAATCTCACGCTACAAGAGGTAATTAAATCGGAACTTTCGTAATTCGATTCGAACATGTTTGTATGATTTTTAATTTACGAGCATGAGTAATATGTGATTACGTGTTTCGATTTTATTGAATGATGAATAAGCATGTTTCGTGATTTACGGTTTTATGTATTTTTCAATTAAATCGATAATTACCATATGTATGGCGGAAGCGTTAAGGTACGTTGATATGTGATTAGTTTATGCATGTAATCGAAACTAGTTCGATATAAAATTTTAAATTCCGCTGCGTATACATGCACGATCCCCAACAATAACTACCAGAATCATCATCTTTGGCCCTCATCTTCAGATTCGCATGGAACTCGCGCACAACACTATTCTCAAACAACAGTCGGTGAGGTGTATTGGCAAGTTTGACAGTACCCAACAACCTTATGTCCCTTAAGAGTTGCTTCACACCCGAGTTTGTGAAGCTTGCTTCATCAATAGGCCTTTGAACCAAGGATTTTATACCAACCTTTTCTTCGCCCAAAGCCTTCACCTGTGAATTGTAGTATCTGAACTTGTTAGCCAAAGTACTCATGCCTGGCACATCCAACATTGGGTCTAAGTCCGAGTCCGATCCCGCCGTCTCCTTGCCCTTTCTGATATCCATTCTCTTGTAGCTTCCGAAACATTCGGTGATTGCGTCACGTTTTCGTGAGTTCGTCATATTGTCTAGAGTTTTTGGGAAGATTTTGGAGAGGAGAATATATGTTTTTTAGTGAGAGAAAAAACTACCTATGGCTTCGTCAAATGCAAACAACAAACTGAAGAAAAAAAATCAGCAGAACTTGCATTATTGAATTGCAAGCAATAAACTACTATGACTTCGCCAAATGCGAACAACAAACTGAAAAAAAAAATTAGCATCATTAAAAACATCAAAAAAATTGTTTATGGGACACGTTGCAAACAACAAAAACATTGAACAAATTGTTTGTAAAATGTAACTTAAGACATACCTTGCAAATTGTAAACAAGAGGAATCGAATCTCAACAACAAACGAATTTAAACCAACCTTCAAACGGAAATTGCTAACAACAAACGATGGGAAGGTTCTACATACGAAGACACAATGCGATTTTTGACTGGGGTTTCGGATTTATGAATTTGTTTTTTTATTTTGAGGGGGAGGGATGTTTGTGGTCCTCTTTAATTCTTTCACCAATAAATCATCTCATAATCTAAAATGACCCTTTTTTCCTTCTCTAAAATATTTCTTCATCACAAAAAAAAAAAAGAAAAAAAAAAGGAAGCATGAGAGAGAGGGCGTGAATACAGAGGGAGGGAGATGATGGATTAAATATAGGGTGAGAGAAACATGAGATTTGAGAGAGAGATGGAGTGATATTATGAGATTTGTTTTCTTATTAATTGAGAGTGTTCATATCTATATACTAATTATTTTATTTTATATATATTATTTTTTTGGGTCAAATGACCTATGCCTATATTCATTTAACAACTAGGATCTCCACCTATATAAGTCCAAAATAAGAGGTGTCTAGCAAATTTCTCCTTTTACAATACGTTAACCAAATCATATCTAGTTAAGTATTTTTTTTTTCTAATCATATATATTTTTTATGAGTACATGCTTAATGTTTCATTAATTTATTTATCTATTTTTTGCATATACTTATAATCGAAACTTGATTTTAACTCTGCTCATTATTGAAACCATTTACATGATACCACATAAGATATTGAAAGAATGAGTAAACATTTGATGCTATAAAATAAAAGAGTTCTTTAATATAACACTCCAGTACCACTATCACCTGCTATGCGGCTACTTCATCAGCAGTTTTTTTTTTTTTTTTTTTTTTTTTTTTTTACTTTTTTTTTTTTTCGTTTTTTAACTTTTTTTTTCTCTTATCATGTATGTTAATCGACTATGAGCATATCAATCGACTATGATGAAGCATAGTCAATTAAGGAACTGACTACTAAAAAAAACACAACTACATAAAAACGAAAATCAACATTTTTTTTACAAAACAAATAATATACACATATTGTAATTCATTTATACAAATCAGAATCAATGCACAAAAATCCAAAAATGAATTAAAAAATGAAACCGAGTAACCTTAATCGACTACCAAAACAATCGATTAACACTTTAATCGATTACCAGAGCATAGTCAATTAACTTAATCGACTACCAAAAAATATAGTTGATTAAGAGTTCAGTCTGCGCGAAATTCTCTACCCGCTCCGTCCTCCGCCAGATCTACAAAAAACCCCTAGATCTGCCTCCCCATTGTCATCACACCGCCGCAACACCACACCATCACCACCTTCTACACATCAAGCATCAAACAAGAACCCCTCCACTGAAAAAATAAGTCAGGCTCTCCGCAACCGCAAACTCCACTACAGCCGCCGCCACCACCACCACCACCACTTCTATTTCATCAACCCGCAAAATTTTGCCGCCGCTGCCGCCACCACCGTTAATACCTAAGAAACCCAATAGGCGCACATCAGAAGTGTGCTAAAATGACACTACCATCCATTAATGCCAAACACAAGACACATACATTGGCGCACATTAGGGAATAGCGGCGAGCCATTGGCTCCATAGGAAAAAACACCAAACTCCACCGTCGCCAGCCACCACCGCCGATCTACTAAAAAAGGAGCCTTCGGGTGATGACTCAGCCCATCCACGTCAGCATCACTGGCGCTCCGATAGCGCTCTCAGCCGCTGCGCCGTGTCGTGTGAGAAAAGAGAGAAGAGAGAAAAATGGGGAAAATAGAAGATGTGAGAAAGAGGAAGAGAGAAAAGAATAATTGAATTAGTGTTCTTCAATGGTATATTAGACAATTTCGATTTGTTAGGAGTGTTGTTTTGAAAGGGAAGGGGTTTTCTCTATTGCTTTTGAGAGACGGATTTTCCTTAACTACATTTCCAAAAATGGGGGGCTTGCTAATTATCCCTAAAATAAAATAGATATTACAACCTCATGTATGTTTTTGTGTTTGCATTTATCAACCAACTTGTTTACCTTTTCAAAAATTTATTAATTGGCAAGATAAGAAAAAAAAAAAGACAAGGGTAAATAACAAATAGGCCCATGACAAAGAGACTTAATTAAAAAATGGATATCTTACTTTTTTGTCTTGCAAATATATCCACCTTATTCAGACTTATTTGATAACAGAGAAAACTCTTTCATGTATAGCAAAATTACCCCTGACTCCTTGAAACTCTAACTTAACTCCAATTTCATGATTTACACCCCAATTTTGCCCAATTTCACCAATTAACCAATTTTAACCCTTATTCCAGTTTTGACCACCACCGCCGATGACATTTTCTTCTTTTTTTTTTCTCCGGTTGGTCAGCCGCCATGGATCGCCGGTCTCCGGCGTTGACTTTTTTTTTTTGAAACTTTTTTTTTCGGCAAGTCAGTCGCCGCTGACCGCCGGATTCCGGCATTGATTTAAAAACAAAAACTATTTTTCATTAATATTACTGTCTGAGACAGTAATATTCAGACAATAATATTGCAGTCAAATACAATAATATTATTTTCTTTTGACAATAATAATATTGTCTTAACTGTAATATTAATGTATCAAACAATACTGTTGTTGTTATCACAATAATATTAATGTATTAATTAATTTTATCGTCTTGACCTACAATATTGTTGTCTCGGCCGTAATATTACTGTTTGGTATATTAATATTAGTAATATTCATGTTTGGCATTGAATATTACTGTCTCAAACAGTAATTTGGTTGTTAACAGAGTAATTTAGGTAGAATTTTTTTTTTCAAAAAAAAAAAAAAATCAATGCAGATTAGTCACACAATCATCACTAAGATAATTATTCTTATGCAGAATTTCAAGGTCTTTACCACTTATATGACCTAATCTCTTATGCCACAGAATAGACATGTCATGATTCACCGTATTGGCATGCAAAACAGGTTCAACAGAACACACATATAGGCTTTGCATTCTAACAACTTTGAAAACAAATTTATCATGCATTATGATTCTCTGACAACTATCTCCCCAATTACCATGCAAACCACTATCTTCAAGAATAACAACAAATAACAGATTACTGCTTAGTTTATGAACATGCCTAACATTTTTAAGGAATAACTCAATACCAGATTCAAATTTTAGGCAAATAGTTCCAATTCCAACTACAGTTCTTTCACTGTTATCAGCCATAGACGCATTACCATTTTCAAGTTTCACATAAGAAGAAAACATATGTCTATTATGTGTCATATGATGGGTGCATGCAAAGTCAAAAATCCAATCATTATCACACAGAGAGGAGATCACAAAGTTCACATAATCATGCATCACATCACCAACCATAAATAAATCACCAAGATTATCAGTCACAACATTAGCTTGTTCATTAGTTCTTTCCTTTTTAGGCTCAGAACATTCATTAGCATAATGACCACTTTTACCACAGTTGTAACACTTTCTGCCTTTGGCTTTAAACTTATTCCACCCCTTGCCCTTTTTAGGTTTTTGTAAAGACTGGTTTTGGTTACTAGAAGAAGCCTTGTTCTGAAATTTATTTTGAAAATTATTTTGAAACTGATTTTTAGGCTTCCCTTTCACAAAATTGATTTCACCAAAAGATTTGCTACTCTTGGTAGTTTTTAAATCCAATTCTTTGCCTTTTAAACCATTGATCACAGTATCCAAAGAAACCTTATCTCTACCATACTTAATGGCAGATTTAACATCACTGTAAGTATCAGGAATAACATTTAACAAAATAATAGGAGAGTAATCATCAATATTTTTGTCTCCAGTTAGCTTAATATCCTGAACCAGCTTTGTAAAAATGTCAAGGTTCTCATCAATGTCTTTGTTTAAATCCAGTTTGAATCTAAAAAAAATTTCTAATAAAAACATTTTTGAGGGCAAGGAGGTTTTGAGTATAAAGTTCTTCCAATTTATCCCATAAAGCTTTAGCATTATCTTACTTTCCTAATTTCCTAATCACTGAATCACTCAAATTTAAGATAATCAAAGAATAGACAAGTTCATCAAATTCAGCTTTCTTAGCAGCAGTAGTGGTATCTTCATATGCTAATGTAACAGCTTTAAAACATTTTCCTAGGACTAAAACACCTTTTATTTTCTGTTGCCGAATAGGAAAATCCCCTTTTCCATCAAAATGAGTCAAGGGATAAGCATTCATGATATCACAAAGATAAAGGCACAAAAATCACACATAATCACTCAGAATCACACAGACAGAGAATTAACAGATAATTCTAGATTACCCCTACCCCCCCTCCGCCGCCGCCCTTTTCCAGATTCCTGCGACACTGAAGTGGTCCGGACAAGAAAAGGGTTGTGGTGAGAGCAATCCAAACCAGAATATAAATGCGGAAGTAAAGCAGAAATAAGGGAAAAAATCAAGTAAGGTCAAGTAATGCCACACAGGGCCACCACGCCACACAGGGCCAACTCAATAGCCACACAGGGCTCCCAATCTCCACAAGTCAAAATACAGGAAAAGTAAACTAGGGTTTTAGAGGTGTCACATTTGCAAAACCAAGTTAGGTTTTGAAACTCCGCTTTGAGTAGAGCTAAGCTATAGCCATAGCTCTGATACCACTGTAGGGTATCTGCCAAGCTCCATATCTAAATAATAGATTATGTATAAATTCTCCTTATACAGTATTAATTACTGCAAAGGAGAAGATATACTAAAGTATTATAGAAATAAAAGAAACAAGGATGCACAAATTGAAAGAGATTAGAATAAAGAATTATCAGCTCAGTCTTCCAATTTTTTACACCAGAGATTCACACTGATTTCCACAATACACCACCAGAGTACCACAAGAAGAACATATCTTCTTTCTCTCTCACACACAAACCATAGTTTCACCCGTAATTCCACGAAGGAAAGAACACATCAAACACTCAAGCTTACACTCTCATCAAAAGCCGTTAATAAGAACTCACAGAAGAAAAACTGAAGGATTTAGGTCGAGATTAGGTTTGAATCTGTATCTTATCTTCTTCCAACCTTCATACCCATATTTATAGAGACAAAAGTCAAATATAGCCGGTGAAGGCTGTACTGGAGGGTCAAAGTCAGCCATGTACCATGCGCTTTGATCTCCAGCCATGACAGAGTTAAGGCAGTACAAGGGAGGAAGAAGACAGAAGCAGGAGCATTGGAGAAGATGAAGACTTTAGGGTTTTCAGAGAATGAGAGATGAGAGGAGACAGAAGAGAATATTTAAGTGAGAAAATGAACGGTCAAGATTAATCGCAGAAATCCAATGGATGGATTTGGTTACATTTGATTTGGGCTCACTAATCCTCTCTTGGGCTTAACTCATGGTGGTGTATTAGACCATCTCCAATGGAGATGGGGGTGGGTAGGGGTGAGGAGGCAAAACCACCTCCAATGGAGGTGGGTAATGGGGGTGTGGGTATGGCTTGGGTATGGGTGGGGAGGAGGGGAGGGGGTGTTTAGCTTGAGCTGCCCCTTCCAGCTCACTTGCTGGAAGGGGGCGTGTGCCCACTCTCCATTTACTTTTTTTTTTTTTTTTTTTTTTTGTTTTTTTTTTCTTTTTTCTTTGTTAACCGATTGTTTCTTTTTTTTTTTTTTTTTCTTCTTTTTTTCTTTTCTTTTTTTGACATGTCAAATTTGTTTATTTTTATTTCTTTTTCTTTTGTATTTATTTTAGTATTATATCATTATTTTATTTTATTTCATTTATTTAGTTACATAATTTAATATCACATAATTTCAATAAAATCAACACTTTGTAAATAAATACTTTTATTTTTTTTCATTTCTTTCTTTTATTTTATTATTTCCTTTTAAATTATATTTTTATTCGTAATTTTATTATTATTTTATTTTGTTTCTTTATTTGGTTTTATTTTATTTGTTCAATTAATTATTATTTTTTGTTTGTAGTAATCGTTATTATTATAGATTTTTTCGGATTCTTGTTGTATTATTCGGTTTTATCCTTGTTGTTTTTCAAATGTTGTTTTCGTGGTTATTATTCTTGTTTTTTTCAATTATTGAATTAGTTGAAGATTATTTCTTTACTTATATTTGAATATTGTATTATTATAATTAAATTATTATTATTATTATTATTATTATTATTATTATTATTATTATTATTATTATTATTATTATTATTATTATTATTATTATTATTATTATTATTATTAG